CAGTTCTTGCCAAAAACAAAAAAAAAACACGAATTTTCCATAATTTTATTTACCCAACACAACTAATTGACAGGTCTAATGTCAGTTATGAAATGTTTAAGGCGACTTTTGCTTTTCATGGCCCTCTAAGCTATAAAAAAATTCGCAAAAATCGTAGTTTTAATTAAAACGATTGCATTAAAAATATACTTTCTTTTAAAGATCTGACATTGGGCATTTATAAAAAAGTCTTCGTAGAGTATTTTCAAAAAGCAATTATGTTTTTACAAGTTTGAATATGTTTTTAATAAAACAATAGTGACAAATTATACATTTTCAATAATGACTTATTGCAACCTAGTTTGGGCATAGGGCCCACAGTGCAGCGGTTTGATTTCTAGGCTTGGTTTGCTGAAAATATTGTTATTCTGGTTGATGTATGTAGCTTCCAGGAATTTTCTTTTCAGCCCGTGTGATTCCCTGTGTAGAATTTTTGCGTTTAACCATGAGATATTGTGCTGGAAGGTTGTTTATGCTTGTGAGATCCGAAGCACAGACCTTTTGATCCGTAGTCGGGTGCTACCTTTTACATGGTGTTTTATTTTTGACTATCTAGTAATGTCATCAAATACACAGTAAAAAATTTTGCTCGTGTAAATTTTTTAGTGTAGGGGTACATTCACACTTTTTATTATTAAAATAAATTAAAAGGGTACAAAAACTTGCGATTGTTTATTACCCCTTAATGTGTTAAATAGTGACAAAATGTACCCTACAGTGCATGCCAATTTCTTTGTCTGTTTTGATGTTACTAAGAGCTCTTTTTCCTTTTCACTACTTAAGTAGTGCACATTGTATCACAATTAAAGTTAAATTACACCAATAGTGGCACAATAGACTGAAAAAACTGGTAATAACCGAAATGCGTTTTAAAATGTTTGGTTGGTGGCATTTTTGTTCAGTTAGATTTTAATTACGGTGAATCCATAAAAGGACATTCTTATTTTATTATTATTCCTTTTTCTTTAAGTCTTAATACTCAATAAATACCAATAGGTTAAAAGGATGTCCAATGGAAATTGTCCATACCCGACCTATATTATACGAGGGTGGTTCAAATATAAACCGGAATTTTGCTATAAATTTTTTTATTATTAAGTTACAGAGCTGAAATTTTTTACAATTTTTCTAGATAGTCTCCGTCACACTCTACACACTTTTGCCACCTCTCCGGAAGCTTTCGGATGCCTTGTTCGTAAAAATCTCTCGGCTTGTCACGTAACCATTCGCGCACGAAGGATTCTACCTCCGCATTGCTTTCGAATCGCAGTCCGCCAAGTACCTCTTTCAATTGACCGAACAAATACTAGTCGCATGGCGACAAATCTGGACTATAAGAAGGGTGTTCCAGTGTTTCCCAATCCAATTCGTTCAATGTTTTTATCCAACTTCCCAGCGTGTGAATTTCTGCTCAAAATTCAGAAGTCTTGGCAACCATCTGGCTGAAATTTTGCGGTAACCGAGCCGTTTATGAATTATTTGCTCAATACTACCTACGCTGATGCCCAATTCTTCAGCCATATCGCGTACAGTACTGCGTCGGTCTTCCAAAATGAGTTTTTTTACAGCGCTGACGTTCTCATCTGTAACACTTGTTTTGGGGCGCAGCGCATATGGCAAGTGCCACCACTTCTCGGCCTTTTCGGAAAGCGGAACACCATTCATACACTTGAGTCTTGGAGAGGCACTCATCCCCGAACTGCTCAAGTAATTTTTGATAAAATTTTCGCGGATTTTACATTATCTTTGACCAAAATACGAATAATGATGCGTTGCGCAACAGACACTGGTACATCCTTCTCGCTCATGGCTATAACTACACTGAAAAGCGAGGTTACGGAGTCCCGGCTGTTCTCTACGCTTCGTAACAGACCAGTCTAACATCCAGTGCAGCCGCTTTTACGACACTAAATTTTTCGCCCGTTTATTTAAAAATTCCGGTTTATATTTGAACCACCCTCGTATATCAATAATTTACGGCGGTAGGTCGGGTACTTGTAACATTAATAATATAATAAACACTTGATTTACTTTTATTTTCAAGCGTAATGGTTGTTATATTAACCTATACCTATATTTTTATTAATATTATGGAAAATTTGTACACGTGTTGTAAATCCCCGACATACAGCCGTCTGACCCCTCTCTACCAATGGGATCGCCCATTTTTTATAACAGAAAAATGGATTACTGATGAATTCTCAAGATAATTCATTGCTTACAAGTTGACAGCCAGTAAAACATTGCATTGATCTAAAACTTTTACGTTTTAAGGAACCATTTTGGTTAAGCCAGCCATACGACTCAAATATAAAATTATAATTATAGATTTTTGTTCCAAATAAATGTTTCTCTTTACCTTTTCGTTTTATTCACTACCACCAATAGGTTTTACTCAAATAATAGTGTTAATTTACACTAGAAGTTTAAACTAAAAGAGTAAAAGTACCTTTCTAAAAGTAGAACTTTCCAAAGTAGTTTTAATTTACACTGAACAAAAGTGGGATTTTACCCAGGAAGTGTAGAAGTACACGATTTTAGGTAAATTAACACTTTTTAATACAGTGTAAAATTACTTTATCCTCAGTGCTATAGTGTTAAATCATACTTGCTTACTTGGGGAAAATTACACTACAAATTAACTCTAATTGTAGTGTTATAAAACAACACTATTTAGTGTGGACTGTGTGAACTCTAATTAGTGTTGCTTAGAGTTGATTTTTTTTTACTGTATAGCATGTTTAAATAGTAATTTAGGTTAAGATAACATTAAAAACTATAAACAGATAGACATAAGTTGTCATTGTCATTCCTTGGTGGTATGATAGTTCGTGCACAAAAAATATCATGATTTTTTTATTAAAAAACAGTAGCACTAATGCAAAAGTGATAGAAGAAAAATTTGCTTACTTTGGCGTGAACTATCACCCCCCGCCAAGAAATGACAACTTATTACATGATAACCTGTATAAATATTCTTCATATATAAAAATGATTTAAGAAATAAGTTAAACTTTGCTAATTAAGACCACAAAGTATTAAATATTTTAAAAATATAATGAGCTGAACACAGACAATCTGTTGTGTTCAGATTGATGAAGAAGAAGAAAAAACAAGGCGACGAGTATATTTTCTTAATAATTGATTTTCAAAAAGATTTTTTTAAACCGACGAGAAAAAATACAATTAATACAGGTCCTGTTGATTAGTCTGTCCACAAAAAAGCAAAAACACAATGCTTCAGAGTCAGTAGCAGCTCAGATCGATTATGTAAGAATTTTGTGGGGATATGCACCGTTTGCACCAAAAATTACATAATTTTAAAATATATTTAGATATAAGGTGTATTATAAAATACAAAATTGATAGTACCTATTTGATTATGTTTATATAATTATTATTATTATTATTACGTGTTAATAAATGATGTGTTATATTCAAATATTATATTATTTTGTTTTAGCAAAGTAAAAGTAAAAATATTTTGCTACAAAACTTGATTTTATACTTATATAATGTTCTAAATATCACAAAAATATATTTTTAGAATTTTCCGTCTTTAAAAACCTATATTATGCAGCCCATATTACATACAATATATTTACACGTGTACAACTTTAACTTCTTAGGTTATTGATTATACAATAAATTGATTTTATTTAACATACAAATATACTGTATAATAATTTTTTTTAAATTATAGTAATTATTAAAAAATAAAAGTATATTTTTTAATAGCAAAATAACAAAATAATTAATTTAATGACTTTTTGTTTTTGATAATATTAATACAGTTTAAGGTTAGAAAATAATTATTATAAAAATGACAAAAGGTAATCTAGTCATAGGTACTATAATAAAAACAAATAAAGGGGTCAATGCAAGAAGTGCCTTAGTCACAAATAGGTGATTCTGAGATATTGCGGTTTGAATGTTTATTTTTGATTATGAAATATTACATAAAATATTATGATAAAAATGTGTGTGTTTGTAATACAAACACACACATTTTTATTATCAAACTTTGTATTCTTTGTGAAAAGTGGATTGGACTTCCATGATTAAAATAGAAAAAATGTTTTGTTGTATCAAAAAAAATATATAAAATAATAAGGCACTTTTTGTGTTGAAATGTTTTTATTTTGTCAAAAATAATTTTTGAAAAATTAAGGGATATTTTGAGGAAAAATTTGTTTATACTTAAAAAAAGGTTTATTATATTATAACGCCGTAAAAAAGTATATAAATTGTGAAATATTAAAGCCTGATTTATAGATTGCCTTCCTTCCTTCCTTCCTTCCTTCCTTCCTTCCTCCCGTAAAAGATGAACAAGACGAAAATCGTAGTGCCATTTAAATATAAACAGCATAACGGTTTTTGTACTGTTCATCTTTTACGTGAAGAAGGGAGGAAGGAAGGAAGGCAATTTATAAATCAGGCTTAACTTAAAGCAAAACTAACTAATGAACTGATCAATTTCTTTATCATGACATCATTTTGCTGGATTATACTTCCATTTTCAGACAAGGTTCGAGCAAAAAAAACGGTAACTGGTATGTTTTAAGGTTCCACAATCTATTTTATTTTACTTTACTTATCTGCCATAGTTATGTTTTTAATCAGAGACACAAATTATTAGGATTTACACAGTTTAATAGGTAATTTACTCAGATATAACCTAATTTAAATAACGTGGACTAAGGCACATGTTGCATTGCATCTGTCAAAATGATGACTTAGGTACTTCTTGCATTGAAAACCAGGTAAACTCCCATTGAAGTAAATGCAAACTAAGGCACTTAGACACATATTTCTGCCACTCTGTAAATACCACCTGAAAGCTGAAGTGAAACACTTTTAGATAGCGCCACAATGTCAAATGTGACTTAGGCACTTCTTGCAATGACCCCTTCAAATAGTAAAAATGATATATAATTATTTCTCTAATTTTTTTTAATTACCTCTTCAACATTTTGAAAAAGATGCCTATGCTCCTGCGGTGTCAGAATTTCCCTTCGTTCATTCAGTGCTGAAACGAATCTTGTAACTGCATATTGCATCGAGGTGGCGTACGTTTGTTCTTTGCTTATCAGTTGAAACATCGCTTTTCGTTTGTTTTCTTCGGGATTGTTGGTTTTATTCTGAAAAATAAAATTTGAACAACAATTGGAATCTATTTTCAAAATCAATATTTTGTTTAGATTGTATGAAATAAAATTAAATAGGAAGGATTAAGGTTTAGAAACCTATTGATGTGCTATTTAAATTTATGTTTTTACTGATCTAATCCATATTAGTATAGGTATTGCTTTGATAATTTTTTATCTACTGCAGTTATGGATATAACTGACATTTTTTACCTTGTCTAGGTGTAGTCTTTTTTAGACGTGAATATAACATGAAGTGCACTTCACTAGTGAAGATGACATTATAAAAGCAATTTTAGACATTTAACAAAAATTACTGTGTGTTTTATTAAAAAACAACATTTATTAATTTTTTAAACATTTTTAGTTTTTTCCACAACGCTGCATGCTGATTTTTTTTTGTTTTTCCTTGAAATAAAGAAATATATAGATAATAAAATTAAATATCTATATGAATTAATATCTGAAAATAATTTTTTATATTTATTAAATAAAATCATTATCATAATACTAATTTCATTACATAATTACATTTAGAACACCTTTGTTAAAGCAAAATTAAAGTATGCCACTATAATATGGAATCCTTCATATGCGTTACATTCCGATTCAAAAATTGCCGAATGCAGAATTGATGGGATTTACCCACCTATAGGATTTCCTCAAACATTCTTATTAAATAAGTTTAATTTTGAAAGTTTAAAGGAACGCAGGGTAAAGGCATCATTAGTTTTTTTTTGTTTAAACTTTCTTGTGTTACGCCGAGAAATAATTTCACCATTTATATGCCAGGCGTAAAAACAAATATTTTAAAATTTTCCACAGTATAATTTATATGTGATAGTACAATGAGGAATATAATTATAAATACCTCAATTTTTTTTAAATCTTTTGTTGCAATATTATTTTTTGTTGTTTTGTATTTGGAATATTTAAATAGTTTTTATATTACATTTTTATGCAATGTATGTAGATTTTCAAGGAATGTAAGATGATGTAAAATAAATAAATAAATAATTTTTTCTTACTACCTCGACTCAAAATACGTTGTTTCTTCCCCGATTCCACGGCAGAAAGTTTACGTTTTATGCATTGGTCAAGCTATACGCGCACACTCTAATAGCGGGAGTAAAAATTTTTTAGTCGTGTGCTTCATTCAAATTTCGTACTGCCAACATGAGAAACACAAAAATATGGCAGTTTTAAACCATAATTTTGCAATTATAACAACAAATAAACAATTTATGTTTTTACTTTTTTACTTTTTATGTTGTTTTAAGTGTTTAATGGTACTTTTATTTGTTATAAAGTAGTAATTTGTTAATTAAAATACAACCTTTTATTTTTACTGTATTGGCACCGCTGAATTCACGGCCTACTGTTATTTATTTATCAAGCTCTTCAAAAGAGATAGGTACATAATTACACATTTAATTTTTTCCCGTATTTTCGGCCGGGTTGTATTTTCGGCCGAGGTAGTAAGAAAAATAGTATACATTACACGGGCAGAAAGTGTGAGAGCCCTGAACTGCGCGCCATGATGCCCTCGGCTTCGCCTCGGGCATCATGGCGCGCAGTGCAGGAATCTCACACTTTCTGCCCTTGTAGTGTAATATACTATTTTTGACCATTAAAAATTTCTATTAGTATCCCGGCGCATTCGCCATTTTCGACATATACATATATATCAGAGCTGGCCAAGTACTGAGTACTTTTACTCGTATTTCAATTACGGGTAAAAAAGTAAAAGTACTTTTTTACTCATAAGTAATTTTCATTTCAAATACTTATTACTCGTATTTACAAACCAAATTCAATGTACTCGTAAAAAAATACTGGTGGAATTCACGAGTAATATACGAGTATTTTCGTTTATTGTATGGATGACTTTTTGCCAAAATATCGAAATAAGCATCAAAACATTTTGTTTGGAAGTCTGTTTTAAATTATATAATATGAGTACATTAGAAGCAAAACTCGGTTTTTGCAAATTTTTAAAAAAATATATCTTTTATCCTATTTATGTTCATAACTGCACTGCCCACAGTAAACCAGATGCATAATATTTGTAGAATAAAATACATTTATAAACTTAACGCGGATGCAAAACTGGGTATTTGTTTCTTAGTAAATAGGTAAAATTATAAACTATTTAAGTAAATAGGTAAAATTATAAACTATTTAAGAATTGTTATTATTTTATGTACATTATGTTTAAAATAAATAATTTTATAAATTTGTATTTGTATTTTTATAGCTCAGAGCCAAAGTATGTATAATGTACACTCTCTAAAAATGAATTAGTAAAAAATGACTAATTACCACAGTTATTAGTGGAAATTAGTGAAAATACCGTCAAAAATTATGAAAGTGGAGCAGTTTTTGAGATATAGTCAATTCCATATTATATGGAAAATGGACTATATCTCAAAAACTGTTCTACTTTTCTAACTTTTGATGACATTTTCGGATTCAGGGAACAATTTTACATGAAAATTGACTGCTAAATGTTAAAAATACAAATTGTTATTGACGAGAATTATTAGTGGCTGCATTTTCGCTATGGCAATTAGTCATTTTTGACTAACCCATTTTTAGAGAGTAAAGCATTAATTATATTAACTTACTTTTTTTTTAAAAGTACTCCTACTCTTTACTCATGTTTTCACGATTACTACTCGTAAGTTACGGTTACGTAACCTCTCTTTACTTACGAGTAAAGTACTTACGAGTAAATATATTAAGTACTCGTGCCCAGCTCTGATATATTTTTATATAAAATAATAACAGTGTGAAAAATGACAGCGAGAGTGGTTTGGAGTTAAATATTTTTTTTAAATAATGTGATAATTTTTACCACTTAATTTAAAAGAACAAAATTTTTTTTTGATAATAATAACCCAAAATTATCTTACAACTATGAATGAAGTATAAGTAAAATAAAGAAAAGGAAATTGCAGAAAACATATATTAAAACCATAAACTTCACAATTGTTTAAAAAAAATGAGATGGTTTGACATAGATTGCCCAATATATCTTTGATCTCTGTTGTTTAACTTAACTTAAGCGGTAGCATATGCTGTTATCCCAGAAACAATATAAACTACATTGAATCATTAGCGACATACATTGCCAACTAATTAGCGAATTGTAGTTACAAATAGGTCAAACTAATCTTGATATTTGTACACATGGCGCGCATGTATACATGCGAAAATTGGAGCGTATATATACGCTCCAATTTCGCGTGACCAAAACAAACATTACGCACAACGGGTGGTTTTGGATTGGGACCGCACGTGGTCAGTGTTTCGAGGCGCGCCACTAACCAAACTTTTCATATTAATATCTATTTAAATCTAGGTGTAGAATAATTTGTAACAAGCCTGTTAATAGTCCAGGAAACAAAGATTTTAGAAGGAAAACTCGATGGTAGTCGGGTTTTATTTTTTTTTTATATAGAGTCAGGGGTGCTGATAATGAATCAAGAATATTCCCCAAAAATTTCTTTCCGCGTTCCCTCTTTTTAAAAAAACTTTAATTTTTGTGGGGCACTTGCAATGAAAATAATTAAAAAAAGGATAAGTGTACCTAAAAATCTAGGGTTATTAAAGCCGTTTGGTAAATAAAAAATGTGTTTTTTTGAAAAAAAAACTTCCTGTACATTGAAAAGCAGTAGCTTTTGAAAAAAGAACCCCCTGTACATTGAAAAGCAGTAACTTTTGAAAAAAGTCTAGTGCCTCAAAAAATCGTCCATTCGGTTATGTTTGATTAGCGTAAGGTTTGGGATCGATTACTTTTAAAATTGGGCTACAATGAAAAAAACAAAAAAGTGATTTTGAAAGCAATGCTCAACTTTGCACACTGCGCATAGCAAAAGGGCACATCATATAGGTACGCAATGGGGTTTAACGTGTGCCTTATTTAGTACATAATCAAAAGTATTAGAGATGAAATTCTGAAAAAATGCAGGGTTAGCGAGTTATAAACCAAAAAGCAAAAAACTCCCCTCTCGGAGGATGAAATTAGGGGACGCGGAAAGAAATTTTTGGGGAATATTCTTGATTCATCATCAGCATCAGCAAAAAAAAATAAAACTTGACTACCATCGAGTTTTCCTTCTACAATCTTTCTTTCCTGGACTATAATATTTTTATCTATAGAATTACAGCTCGTCAATGTAGGAGTACATTGACGAGCTGTAATTTTATGGCGTTGTAGTCACGGGCTAAAGTTACCAACAGTGGGCATTTTTGGGCATTTTAGTCACTGGCTGAAGTTGACTTTATTATGAATTAGTAAAAAGTAAGATTAAATTCGTTAAAAGTTAACAAATGTCAAATTTTTAACAAATAAAATTGGCTTTAAATTCTTTTGACTTTGTTCGTCGTGGATTAAATATAGTATACCACTTGCAAGTGGTGTTTTATAAACTTTTCTAGACACTCGTTTATATTAAACACTCGCTCGCAAGCTTCGCTTGTGCCTAATAAAATTCGTAACTAAAATGGCGTTTATCAAACTTAATACATAATGTGCTATTACTAGGTTCTCAAAATACTATATTTTATATGAATAGGCTTTAAAAGTTTTAATAATAAAAATAATAATTATAATAATGCGTTGAAACAACAAAGGCATAAATAAATTATTACAAATGCATTTTTTTTGTTATTTATGGAATTATGGCATTTCGTGTTAAAATTGGGGTTGCCTGAATATACCTAATTGTGGTAATAAATGCCCAAAATGTGTAGTACAAATAAAGATGAGTAAAAATACTACTTGAAAAAATGTATTTTTGGATTATTTGTAGAAAAGATAACAAATTTAATATTAAATTATTTCAAAACAAAATGGCAGATGATTTTTGAAAAAACATGAGGATATCGGCTAAGTCTAGAAGGATTTTAGGCATGCTGCATATATCCCCACAGAAAAACATCTAAAGGTGGAATATTACACAATCGTGGAGGTAAATTTACAGGTTCAT